CGGAATTCAGTCCGTGATACTTTCCCTATGCCCTTGGAGTCGCAACAATGAGTATCTAATCGCTTCCGCTATGGCACCGACTACTCCAAAGACCGTTATGCTCTACTCAATCGATGGCCTACTTTAGCTCATTTACAGCAGGTTCTTTCTTAGTAGGTGTCCATGTTAACGGAAGAATATAATAGGTGTCCCGTGGATAGCAGGCTCCATTGCGCCACTCGTGATTCACGCGCTTCTAGAATGGCACGCCTTCTCTGTAGTCCTTCACGCATTCAAATTATCTTCAGGAGTCCGTTCCATTCCGTGGTCCCGTCGACGGCATGCGCTCTTTTCGCATAATCCGACGTAAGCTACGGCGAAGCTTCCCTTCCGGCCTTTCAAGGACTCGAACCGAATCTGATAAAAGGCTCCTCGTACCGCTCACTGAATACAGTCATTCTCTCTAGACCCACGCCCATGCTTGAAAAAATCATACCGCTTGTGCTCGCCACTGTGGCAGTTGCCCACGCAGGATCGCAAAGCGTGCTACAGTTGAATGTACGTGGAATTCCACGGACGCACTCTGGCTAACTGTTTCGATATCCAGTCTGCTGAGGCCACTGCGCAACAGGCCACCGTTTTCTCGCTCGTCGTATGTACCCTCCAAAATCACGTTATGGTTAGCCGCTCACTGATATCGTTCGTGTATCCAGTATGGCCTGCCCTTGGTCCAGTACGTGATTTTCGGTAACTCCATTGCCGTGAAAAGTGGCGGATGGAAAACAAACTCTTTCTTACACGAGACCACGCTCGCAAACGCGACCTACCACACTATTGTTCTCCCCAATGTCGACACACTCTATTCCGAAGCGCTCTGCGACCTCTCCAGCAACGAGGTCGTCGTGACCATGCCACCAATGGCGTCGGGTCGATTCTATGTGTTGCCTTTCTACGATGCGTAAGCTGGCTGTTGATCCAGGGAATCTGTTCAGTTGAATCTAAGTGACGGGCAGGTACGGCAACAATTTCTGTAACCTCGGAACGGCCACAAAAAGCGTTGCGGGGAAGTATCTCGTCAAGTACAGCCCCGCGAGGCCTGGCTGCGACATGACTCCCGATGGTGAATTTATGGGGACCGTGCATATGCCTACCGCGTACGGTGCGGTACTCCTCCGGATCGAGGTCGACAACGCGACGGATGTCGAGTATGTCGTGTCTTCCATCCAGCCAGGCTTCACGCTCGCACCGCGTACATCCGGCTACCCTCTCGCGCCGCCGCTCACGCAATCGCTACTGAACGACGGGCTATCCACTGATGTCCCGCTCTATGTCATGCAGCTCACTGCGCGTCTGGCCCCGTTCAACCCGCCTGAGGTAGCATCGGATGTGCGGCCCGTCGCAGCTATCCTGCGGCTTGCAGGCGCCGGCCGCGGCTCCTACACACAGCCCGAAGGTGTCGACCTCCCGCTGGCGTACACTACCGCCCAGGCAGCCGTCGCCCACGTCAAAACTACGGGCTTCATCTCCTATGGGCACGGCTGGGCTGCGATCAAACCCAGCCTCGCGGGCGACTTCAAAGGCCTTTATGCCGTACGCGCCTTTGTCGGTGAGCATGGCTACATGGAGCTCACCGCCAACGAGGCGCTATACCCAATCTACGAGGTGAACCAGACGCACTTTTCCAACCAATCCTACATCGTAGGGTTCAACGGCAAGCCACCCGTGGACGGTTTCTGGAGTCTCACCATTTACGACGCGGCGGGGTATCTGGTGCCGAACAGCCTCAATCGTTATTCGCTCAACAATCGCGATAACATTACGTACCCGGATGGAGGGTCCATTCTGGCGACGCCGCCTGACAGTGCGCAGGCATTCTATTTGCTGCTTCAGAGTACGGATTACCCGCCGTCGTCGGAATGGGAGTCGAAGTGCGTTACGCCATTTCTGTGCGACGTATTTGTATCTTGTCTGACTGGTCTTCATTTCTGCAGCTGGCTCCCTACCCCGGCGGACGGCAAGGCCTTCAACTTCCTCCTCCGATTCTACGGCCCTAAGCCGGCTCTCACCACCGGCAAGTACGAGTTCCCAGAGGTACAAAAGGTCGCAATCAATCCCCCCATTCCGAACACGGCCTGACTGTGAAGATTTGTATACTGAGGCCGGCTTCTATGCTTCGAGTAGATACTTACCCCCAATACTATGCTTTGAAATTTTCTCTCTTGAACCCGACTAGGATCCTGATGACCAATAGTGAACAAGAGTCTGAGAAGGGAAGTCACGAACAACAGAAAAGTCGATCACATCTCGACCTTCAACCACCGTACCGCGATGAGGTCGCGGCGACGGCGACCCAGTCATCTTCATCTGACGAGTCAGAGGAGGAGTTGAAGATAGCGCGCAGAGAAAAAGTGCACGCTGCCACAGGTTGCCCGAAACTTTCGACGACGAGGACGCCTACTTGTACTCCGACGCCTGCAGCATCCTGCTACCTTACGCGTCGGGCTAGGAAGCATAAATTTGCCTTTGATGCCGCGACACTGGCCATGCGTGTGGTGCGGGAGAACACGACCTGCTTGCGCACGTTCTGCCTCTGCGACTTGGGGAGGTGAGGCAGAGGCTGAAGATGCTGGCTGGTCGCGGGGCGGCGATGCTGAGGCAGAGCGTCGGGTGGTCGGGTGGTACGCCGCCGCACTGGGAGAATCATCAAAACGAGGACCACAGAAAGCTTGCTGCAAAGATTAGTTCATTAAACCCGAAGAGCCAGAGAGCTGACATCCGTAAGCAGATACATCCCGGGGATCGCATTTCCCGCAGTATGATCATATTCCCTTGAAGGGACCACCAACAGAATTTGTGTCCACTGTCGAGCATCGGGGTCCGGGGGACTGTGAAAATCGCCCGGATCGGTCCAGGTCTCAAGGCGTCGAAAGCAAGACCACATGAATTGAAGCATGGCGCGGAAGGTGCAACAATTGACACTGCGAAAAACACACAAGAGAAGAGATTATAGCGAAGAGAGTACAGCGTGTCATTGTCAGCGTTGGCCATGGTGGTGGACAAGTGGTGGAAGCCAGGAGCCGTGAGAAATATGAGGTAAGCGCACAGCCTCAACTTCACAGCCTTTCGCTTCTTTGAGCCCGGAGTCACGCGGCTACTACGGTTTCAATTTTCAAGGACTCGAGAAATATTTGCTGGACTCCTAACGAAGCCACACTCTTCAGATCAAACTTGGTCAACCTGAACGATGATCCAAATTTTCGGACTAACAAAAAGAAAGAAAAAAACTTCATGACTTGTAAGTTGTTATGATATGCCCCTTGTATTCCCCAACGGAGAATTTCATGCAAGGACTCTATACGATGTATCATTAAGAGCACAAATTCGTTGCGTGAATAATGCCATACCTGAGTTTACTCAATTCCAGATGAAGGAAACTTGCAAACGGCCCGGGTCCGAATCGAACGGACATCTGCTGCATGGAGTCCTACAGCTACTCAATGAAATACAGCGGCGCACCCTGCGCCTCCGAATCTTGAGTCTCTGAGTGGGCTCGTGGATACCAGACACAGTTGAAACCCCTTTTGCCGGTTCCTGGAGAACTTAATACCTATATGTGCAAGTAATTTCTGCATAAAGATTGCATATGTTCAGTGCTCACCATGCCGTGCTTTCTCGCGAATCCATGGCTCGAGCTCGAGTTGAACGGGCAAGTCACCAGCTAAACATCGCAGACGCGGACCATCCGCCATCGAGCCGATACCAGGGTATCTGTGACGTCGTACTCGTGAGGACTGTTGTGCGTGAGTTTCTGTACCGTTTCAGTGAATTAGTGTCAAAGGGTGTGGTTCGGGCGGAGAAGGTTTTGCATGTCTGTTCCAGCACTGATGGCAAAATAAGTTCAGTCTTCAACTCGGACAATTCTATTTAACAACCCCCCTTGTTGAAAACAACCCGGGTTGTTGGATCAATGTTCTTTTTTACAAGCCCATGTTTTTTGTGATTGAAAACTTTGTTCTATCTAACAACCGTACTGGATTCAGCAAACTGAACGAACTGGCTCGTCGGAGACAGCTCGGCACGCATGCGGCATTGGAGGCAAATCAATGTTCTCATCACAGAGCCACCCCCTAAGATGAGCTCGCCATTCGCTGGTCATCACACTCGCGCGCTCTGAAAAAAATAAACGAGGGACGTTGACAGTTGAAAATACATGGCGAGAAAGCACCTGGACCGATCTATTGAATGGAGCCACAGAATATTGCTGCAAAGTCGTTGCTTCATGTTTTTTCTTGCAAGCTTTCAGGCTTAACGACGCTGCAGATCCATTCCTAATGCGACGCGCATTTTTTGTGAATATTAATCCCGTTCATTAGCTACAAGAATGTGCCAAAATGCTCAGGGTAATTGTATCAGCACTGAGCAGGTGTAAGTCCGGAAGCCTTGCCGGAAGCCGAGCTGGATCATGCCGTGCCAAATCTCCCGAGGCTATCCTGTAACTCTGCGGTGGAGGATGGTTGAGTTGTTCCACTTAGCCGTGTTGGTTTGCTTGCTTACGTAGGGGTTGTTAAATAGAAAGGGAGGGTTGTTAAATAGACTTGTTCTCTGTGGTAACCTGGGTTGTTTCAACAAGGGGAGTTGTTAAATAGAATTGTCCCTTCAACTCACCGGTCTCGAAAGATGAAAAACTGAAACAGGTTATTGGCCCACCGCTAATGGCTCGATCCGAGTCGAATGAGAAGAATCTGCTTGTATGTATCGCCGCATAAACAAAGCTACGCAGACGCGGATAGTCCGCTATCGAACCGATACTAGAGTATTGTGGGAGTAGGGTCTATGTATGACTTCAGAGCCGGATTTTGCCCACCCACCGGGATCCAAAATTTGCCGGCAGACATCGAAGTGGATCAACTTGGTATTCATTGGATCTGATTGGCATACATCGCCGAGCAGTAGAATGACTTTTACGCTTCAGTTCACCGTAGTAGAGAAACCAAAGAAAAATGATCAAGAGGATCCCTTTATAGCTCGAGCCCGAGTCGAACGGGCGATAATCTGCTTCACCGCCCAGAAAACTCAGTTAAACAACACAGACGCGGACCATCCGCCATCGAGCCGATACCAACCTACTTCGGAGGCTCAATTTGTATGCGACTTTTGACACCGCGATATCGAGGCGTCGCTGGAGGAGGTGACTTTACAGACAGCACGCTGTATTCATACAAAACAGACAACATTTCCGAGGACTACCAGGTTCCACTCCGAGGAGGCGATGAATTCGAAAAAAGCTCAAATATCTATCATGCCTCGATCCCGAGTCGAACGGGTGGGAATCTGCTAGAGATATATAAGTTCTACGTGTACAACGCAGACGCGGACCATCCGCTATCGAGCCGATATCAACCCACTTCAGCCTTTATGTTTGTTTACGACTTTAGGTCAAGATTTCGTGCACTCATTGGACTCATTGGAGGGACATGAAATTTCCCGCTAGAGGACAGGATGAGTAGGACTCGACAGTGCAATTCTGGCTGCAATTGTAAGCTTCAAATCAGCTATTCATCTTTTTCGTTCAGAAGAAATAAAAACAATCGGATGGCTCGAGTGCGAGGCGAACCGGCGGGAAAATCTAAAATCTGCTGATATTCTTCGAGTTGTTGACACAATGCGGACGCGGACCGTCCGCCATTGAGCCGATACTGAGATACATCAGCCGTTGAGTTTGTATGCGACTTCAGAGCAGAATTTGGTGCATTTCAAGGTTTAGAAGTGGGCTGAACCGAACTTTGCATTCGTCGACTCTGATTGGCATAGTCGATTGACTTCCAGTGTGCTTGATTTCACCAGTGAGAATGATTTGCGATACCCTTATATAAGCCGACAAAAAAAAGAAGAAGAAGAGAAGCGAAAGCAATGCGCGAGCTCTCATGGCTGGATCCCGAGTCGAACGAGCGATAATCTGCTTCACCGTCCAGAAACCTCAGTTAAACAACGCAGACGCGGACCGTCCGCCATCGAGCCGATACCGGCCCACTGCAGCGGCTGAGTTTGTGTTCGCCCTCAGAGCAGCATTTAGTGTACTCGTAGGACACGAAATTTTCTGCTAGAGATGGAGACTCACCAGGATGAGTAGAACTCGTCATGGGCAATTATGGTTGCAATCGTAAGCTTCATATCAGCTGTTCGCACGTATCATCTGTTTTGTGCTTCAGTTCGGTACTCAGAGGAAATAAAAACAACTTGATGCAATTCCACATGGCTCGAGCCCGAGTCGAACGGGCGGGAATCTACTTGCAGATGCCATGTCGAATTCGATGTAAACAACGCAGATGCGGACCATCCGCTATCGAGCCGATACCAGTCTCGTTTAGCGGTCGGCCTTGTGCGAGACTTTAGTTGGAGAAAGATGTTGCGCACCAACAAGAACACGAAATTCATGGTTGAACTTGGCAAGCATTAAATGTAGCTACATCTTGGCCTGAAGAAGTGATGCATCAGACATAGTAGAAGAGAATAGAAGTCGAAGCGGATGCGGAGAGATGGGGATGCAAATATTAAATGAACAGATGAGATGGCGCATGAAGATTTGCGATCGAAAAGGGGCAGAAGGTGTAGCCCTTGATAGCCCTTGATGCTTGATTTGTGCTCAATAATGAAAAGCCGATGGAATTGAGTCTGATCCGGACATATTTGAAACCCAGACGCCAGTAGGTATGCACTTGCCCGAGGCCAGGTGTAGAGATGCCTCCTTCGTTTCGCGAAATAAATCCGGGGAATTTGGATACGGGAGGTAGGATTGAGTCTTGAATTCGCTTGGGACGGCGTAAAGGTAATGGAATAGAACGGATTGTGAGATGGTCGCAGACATATCTAGAGTGGGTGGAGATCTGCGATGCGAGTGATATGGCATCGAGTCTGAGTCGCATCAGAAGTCGGAGAAGGGTTGGGTAGGGTGTCCGACGGAGATTCGGGACGGAGAATTGAACTTGCAGTGCCCGACGGCAGTAGTATATTAGAGGTGAACTGGCAAAGACACATGGAGAACGCATTATGAAGGCGTCACAATTTGCGGGATTTGCGATGTGGGTAAGATGGTATGATTGGTTCAATCAATCCGGTTCAATGGTTGACGGCGGCAGCTGGCAGCGACGGCGGAGTGTGGGAGAAAACCTTGGACAATGCCATGGGGGAAACAATTCAAAACGGCCGCCAAACAGTAAGCGGTAAGCTTTGTTCTTCCCTGGAAGGGAGAAATAATAGAGGTTAGCTGCACTGCACGAAATTGGGAATAATGCAGAGTAGGGAAAGAACGATCCGCGCCTTTGCTAGTTAGTCATCAGATGAACTGTCTCCAGCCGCGTTTGAGCGTCGCGTCGCGTCGGAGGATCAGATGTGATGAGGTCGGGAGACATTTGATGCGTAGGACATACGGAACTGTCGAAGCGGCCGTCGGTTCGATGAGTAAGTCATGATGTTGCCTCGGTGCGGGGAAGTAACGTTGCGAGACCCCGAGAATTTCGCAGCGGATTAGACATAGAATAGAAGATGAATGAATGAATAGAGGTATCAAGCTTTCTTTGATTGCAGAACGGCGAGGATAGGGGATTCGATTTGAATGGAATCCAATGGCGATTGAAGCGAGCCGAGACGCATTGTTAGTTGATGACGCTTGATGAACGGTGGACTACGGTGTTTCAGACAGCCGGAAGTCTCCAGGGAAGTTGTCCGTCGCGAATTCCGCGAAAGGATTGGGGAGGAGCAGAAATAAACTACCGCAGACAGAGAGATTCAAACGGTCAGAAAAAAGCCAGAGTAGTGCCAGAATGGGACGCAGAACGCGAAACCCAAAGTCTAGGGCCGAAACGACATGGGAGAGAAGCGAGAGAGGCGAAACGGAAGGGGAAGCTTGATGCTGTGCGCTGACCTAATTCTGTGATGGGAGGGCCTCTTATTTCCGACTTCCGTTTCTTCCTTTTCTGGTCTCTTTCACACCCGCCGCCGCTCTCGACGAGTCTTACTTTCTTTCTTTCATTCTTTTTTCTTCTCAGCTTTTCCTTCAGCTTTTCGTCTTCATACGACTTCCTTCCTTCCTTCCTTGCTTTCATTTCATTCTTCACACTCTTGACGAGCCCGCACAACTCAAAAATCGCTATGTCGATGCAAGCCACGATGCATATGCCGCCCACGACGCACGCCCTCCCGCAGACGCACCGCACTAACCTCATCCGCTCCACGCGCAAGCTCGGCGCCATCCTCGGCGAGACACCGCTACTTCTCGAGCCCACTCGCGGCCACGCGCACTCCAGCTCCGTCTCGTCCACCAGCAGCACCGACTCCAGTTCGTCCTCCGCATCCAAACGCTCCGGGCGCATATTTGCGCCATCTGTACCCCGCTCATCTTCCCTCGCTCCCGCATCCACGCACACGACCTTTAACTCCACCTCCCCGCTCCCCGAGCACTCGCGCGAGTGCCAGCAAACCGACCAGCATCGACCGATGCTCTACCTCCGCCTCGCCGACCCGCGGCCCACCAGCATCTCCTCGCCCATCTCACCCTCATTCAGCCCCCTCACACCTACCTTCTCCCCGCCCAAAATCGATAGGCGCAAGAAGATGGCGAAGCTCACACGCACGCTGGGGCAGAACGTTCCCCCGGAGCTCGTTTTCTCCTCCGCGTCGCGGGACAAGGGGAGGCCCGTACACGTGCCTGCGATGCTGGCGGCGTTGTCGCCGGCGCATGCGTCGTTGGTGTTACCGCCGAATGAGCACGAGCAGGAGCTGGCGAGCCCGACGCGCGAGGCGGCGGGTATGCTGAGGGCGTCGGAGCACGAGTACGTCGAGTCGCGGCAGCGCGCGCATTCGTCACTGTCATATTATCGTGCTATCCCTTCCCGCTCCAACTCCTCGAATTCCTCGTCTGGGGACGACGGCTGGGTCACCGTACCCGCACCCTCTTCCTCGTACCCTCCGCGCTCCCCTGGCTGGCGCACGAACTCCTACCCGCCCCCTTCGCCGTCCCCGCGCAGCCCGCATTATATCAAAACATCACAGCGGACGTTCGCCGCTGATGTACAAAACGCGCCGCCTCAAACGCCAACCTCACCCCCCGCCCACCCCAGCACGACCTCCCGCTCGACGACCGACGCAAGGTTCCTGTCGCGGCATTATGAGGTTGTGTTGCCGTGGGTTGAGAATTCGCGCTCTGCGTCGCCTGCGTTCTTCCAGGGGAGATCGACTTCTCCCGCTCGCTCACAGTCGCCTGCGCCGGCACATAACCGCGTGCCGTCGAGGGCACAGACGGCGATGTCGTACAACTCCGAGTACGAGTATGTGAATGAACCCTCAGCACAGACGACGTACCGCAAGGAAGCCGGGTGGAGCGGAGAGTGGACGGGTGCGGGTACAGGTGTAGGCGGGATGGGGATGGAGGAGGTTGTGCGGGGGTTGAGGGGGCTGAGGCTCAAGTGAGCTTGCGAACGTTCGTGTCGTTCAGACGTCGGTGATGGACGAGGGATGCGATGGAAGGGGACGAAGGGAATGACAACGCAATGGATGGAGATGAGATGAAGAGAGGGTACGCTACGATAATGCTAATGGTCTGGGGTCTGGACTTGTACATACATACATACGCTTTGATAGTACGCTATGCTTTGATAGTTAGTCTAATATAACATTTTTCTGCGGGAAAGGGGAGGTGGAGTTAAGTTGCTGCTTATACATCAATTTCAAGGCCCGGGGCGCATGGTGCGCGCCTGCACTCCATAGTTGGATGCGAAAGTACATGCGGGGGGAGTCTGTTCGATTCGGACCTGGGCCGTGCCGTGTTAAGAGGATTGTTTTAAGATTTTTTTTCACGTTATTTCAGAAAGCCGTGGTTTTAAGTTTGTTTTTCCAGCTTCTGTGTTCTAATTAGCTATATAACCTGATTTTACTATCAGAAGCCGAACAAACAAAGTCCAGTTGAACTTGACTCGTAAGGCGAGTCGAGTGGAAGTCGGATGCTCTTGAGTATAATTTGATGGTATACCCAGAAATCTGCACGCGAATTTCAAGGCCTGGGGCGCGTGGTGCGCACCTGCGAGATAATGCTGTCCATGGTGCAGGAATCGTCCGTTCG